AGAAGTGCTTTCTGCCCGCTCAGCACCCGCCGGTCTCTGCTGACTTGAAACGATAAGCAGCTGCTGACCCACATCCACACTGGGAGCTCCGTGGGGCACTACCTGTGCCCGCAGGAGGCAAGGGGGTCCCCTGTGCAGGGCGTCCCTCCGGATTGGCCACAGGCAGCTTTGCTGGGCAGCATCACAGCTGGAGGAAAGCAGGCTGAGGGGGGTTAGCTCTCTAGTTGTCCCAAAGGAAGGAGCGGGGCACAAGAGACCGCTCTACAGGTGCTGGATTCCTGCAGGCATCGCCCTGTGCCCAGCTGACAGTGCGCACACCATGGAGCAAGGAGCCAGCGGGACCATCTAACTGGGGTGCCCTCATCCAGAGCCGGGAAGTGCCAGCCAGAGGGAGAAGGGAGTGCTGCGGACAGGTCTGATCAGCCCGTGCTTGGGACATCATCGCTTCATTGTGCAGGTCAGTAGCACGGAGGGATGCTTGCATCCCGGCACCAGCTGCCAAAAGGACAGCTTGTCCGAGGTCTGCACTCATTTAATTCTCTAACAAATACTTTCCCAGGGTGTTGTCTGTAGGCTGGGGAGGCTGGTGGCATGAGTCATGGCCCTTGCATCTAGTAAATGGACCTCCCCCACCCCATCTGTACTGTGTGGAGGCACAAGGAGCCATCCTAGCACTTGTGTGGACCCTCCTGGATGCAGCTCATTTGACACAGCAGGGCTTTGCTGGGCTTTGTCTGATCAGCTTTTAGGTGCGTGTGAACTTACCCGCGGTATTTTTACCTGTGGTTAAAGCTCCTTAACTGAGGAGAAAATAATAACAAGCTGCAGAGTGTGCAAAGGCAGGTGCAGGGTACATGGTGTAACCGCTGTGTGCAGCCGTACGCATAGAGCTAACGTTATGTGCCGTGGTGTTAGAGACAATGCAGCTCTGAACTGCCTGGCTCTGAGCTGGGATGAATCTCCAGCAGAGATGCTATGGCATATTGGCCTTGGAGGCATCTCCACAAGTGGCCTCCTCTTGTGCACCTCATCTTTTCCAGCCAACACCTAGCTGCAGGCAGGTAAAATCCCCTTCATGCCGAGCTGTGCAGTTATGTAGCACTGAGCAAGTGGCTCCTGCAGAGGTACCCATCCAGCTCCAAACTCAAACAGTACTGATGGATATTTGTCTAATGTGCTCTTCAAAATCAGATGCCGTTGACTTGCCATTAACAGGCAATGCTACAGAAATCTCTGAAGAGCATGCCATGAATGGACAATTATTTTCTTGCTAGGAAGCTGGGGGGAAAAACAAGATGAATTGCAGTGGTTTGATTGGTTCATTTGATTCGTGGTGCAGGATGAGGTCCAGAAGAGCGAGGCTGGGAGAGGGGCTTGAATAAACAGGCTAAGGGTGTGTTTGGTGTCAGTCGCTCTTACTTGAGGTAGCTATGTGCGGTAGATGGTGCAGCAGTGGAGCACCAGCAGTGATGGAGAAATGGTTGTGCTTTTGCAGCAGGTCACCTTTTGTACAGCTGTACCTAGCTTGTTAGTCAGGTGGAGCTGGGAGAGAAGCAGCAGGTGGATAACGGCAGAAGCTGAGCAAGACCGTTCAGCCTGGCTGTCCTGCTGCCGGTGATCCAGATAACAGAGAGAGTGGGAGGGGGAAGGTATGGGTGTCTGGAGAGTGTATAATGAATCTTTTCTTCGTTGCAATGATTCTTTGCCTTGAAAATGTCTTTATAGCACCCTATTCTCAGTTCATGCCTCTGCTCCTTGCCACAGTTCCTGAGACCTGGGCTAGTGGGGGAGAGACTGGAGGAGCCTGTGCCAGCCCCTGTGGTTCAGCCTGAGAGTTGTTAGGATATGGCCATCCTCAAGAAGAGCTGCCCAATCCATACTCAGAGCCAAATCTTGCTCCCTTTTTTCGTGGCTGATGGAGTCCTGAAAGTTTGGGGATCTCTGCTACAGGGACCCACGGCAGTGGCAGATGCCTAGGTGCTGCCATGAACAAACCTTTGTGTTTTCAGGAGCAACAGTTCCCTGGGTAGGGGAAAGAGGGGGACTGGTGCGGGTGGCTGGTGACTCCAATCCCACCCTTCCCTCTACACGTCAGCCGTAGCTCGGACACCTGACTAAAACCAACCAGCCAAGACCATTTTGTGCCTCCTCATCCTCAGAGAGAGGTGATTCTCCCCCTCTACTCTGCCCTTGTGAGACTTCACCTGGAGTACTGCGTCCAGTTCTGGAGCCCCCAACATAAGAAGTACATGGACCAGTTGGAGAGGGTCCAGAGGAGGGCCACGAAGATGATAAGAGGGCTGGAGCACCTTTCCTATGCGGACAGGCTGAAAGAGTTGGGGCTGTTCAGCCTGGAGAAGAGGAGGCTCCGGGGTGACCTTATAGCGGTCTTCCAGTACCTCAAGGGGGCCTACAAGAAAGATGGGGAGAGGCTGTTCAGGAGGGCCTGTTGTGATAGGACAAGGGGTAATGGTTTTAAAATAGAGGGAGGTAGATTCAGATTGGATATTAGGAAAAAATTTTTTACCATGAGAGTTGTAGAACACTGGAACAGGTTGCCCAGAGAGGTGGTGGATGCTCCATCCCTGGAGACGTTCAAGGCCAGGTTGGATGAGGCCCTGAGCAACCTGATCTAGTTGGAGATATCCCTGTTCCTTGCAGGGGGGTTGGACTAGATGACCTTTGAAGGTCCCTTCCAGCCCTAACCATTCTATGATTCTATGATTCATGTCAATGCGCTGTGGGTGCAGGTGCCATGTCCCTTGCAGAGGGCTCCAGAACTGGCCTAGTTGTCTTCTTGTCTTGCAAGTCCCTCCTTCAGCATCCCCTAAACTATGGTTTCAGAACCCTCTCAGAGTACTTCCCAGCCCTGTTTTCTAGCCTTGGCTCTGCATGCCAAACCTCCTGCAGCCTGAGAAAGACCAGTCACTCTCCTTTTCTGCAAGATTCAGGGGTGTCACAAGGTAGGTCCACCTCTTGCCAAGAAAGGGCCCTTTACCTGGACTCTGCCCCAGCCTGTGCCATCTGTGCTTTTGCCTAAGGGGTTTGCACTTGTTTAACCTGCAGAAGAACAGCAGTGCTATGGGAATCAGGGCAAGTTGTCCCCATTGCTTGGAGGACATGAAGAAGAGGGCCTGCCTTGAGAAACACACCCAGATCCAAAGCTCCCAGGTCCTATCCCTGTGTGTACTGTCCATAGGAGTGTCCTTGTCCCCTCGGCAATTTCCAGTCAGCGTGTGACTTCTGGTATTTCCCATGACAGCCAGTGCC